ACAGACCTTTTGTACAGGCTGAGAAAAAAACGTTGACATTTGAGAATTAGAAGAGAAAAAGGAAAGAGAAAAAGGAGTCATTGTGCCCCTGGCATGGGTGCCCTCTGAAGAAACACACACAACACGCTTATTACACATTCTGAGACAGGAAGTGAGGACAGAAGGATCTTGCTGGATGGATGCCACTCAAAAATGAAAATCACTCGCCTGCAACGCTGTATGATGATGTTTTTTTTAGGTAAAGCAGAAGGAAAATCTTATTTGCATCACCATTCAGATTAGAAAATGGCAAGACAAAGAAAGCACGTAGGCCTTCACGTAGGCCTACATTTGATTATAAAATCAATTGCATTTTCATTTATTTACTTGAAGGGTGTGGTCAAACTACAATTATAGCTATTTTATAAACTTGAATTGTAAGCACTGGTCTGATAAGAATAAGCGTTGGTTACCAGATAGTTTTTTGTCCGCAAACTTGAATTCTGTAGGTTTAGTTGGGACAACCATAAACTGCAGTTACTGTCATTGAATAAAAAAGAGCTGCATGAAGAGCATTCAAATATTCTCCTTTGTGTTCATTGAAACAAGCAAGAACAAGCATTTAATCTGCCATTATTGCTTCATCTGCTAAAAATAAATGTTTTGTAATAATTTGCTTTGGATTATTTTAAAGATCAAATATAATATGTCCTGACTGAGTCATACCTTAACCAGCACAATAGCCTTTATTTCATGCGTGATGGCAACAAAAGGCATTCAGTTTTACACAATGTCAAGGCTAAGCAGTCATACAAAACAAGCTCAGGGAAGCACATGCCCGTACTTGCGAGTTTTACTGTGAATGTAACTTTGTGATGTTTTAGATCAAGCTCACAAATGCTCTCAGGCCATAAAAAATGTAAGAAAAACAAAAAAACAACAACAACTATCTTAGGACCAATTACGTATTTTACGAGGTGGCGAAATCGTACGATTTGTCTAAACCCCAGTGATGGGTGGGTTTAGGAGAAGAAGAGTCGAATTCCTACGAGTTCATACGAAAATCGTAAAATTTGTACGATTGAGCAAAAATCTTACGAATCTTAAAATCGTATGAATTCGTATAAGTGTGGTCGTATGATTTTGTATGTATTAGCCACCTCGTAAAATTTGTATGAATTGCTGTGAGATCTGGTTTAAAAAACACAAAACCGCCCAGTAAAATCACTGTCTTGTGGTTTCATGACTCAGAAAACAAGATCAGACTGGTTTTAATACTTTATTGGGTGGGATAAGTGAGGTAAGCTGTCCTTTTTTTTTAAGCCGTGCTCTTGACAAATAGAAATTACATGGTTTAACCCAGTGGTTCCCAAACTGAGGGGTGCGGCAATGCTAAGGGATAGTGTACAGTCAGCATATTGTAATACAAAACAAATCTCTTCAGGGAGATACAAGACTCCACTGCGAAATGATCCTGCTTATGCGCCCTACTCAGCGAATTCTCATCCTAAGGCGTCATCTAACTGACGCTTTTGACAATGCGTCTAAATCCGACGCACATGGCACCCTTTAGCATCAATATGACACGCTTCGGTTATGGGTTGGTTTAGGTCCGGGGTAGTGTTAGTCTTAAACCACTAGGAGGCGCCTTCTGCCCCATATATATATATTGACGCTAAAGGGTGCCATGTGCGTCAGATGTTGACGCATTGTCAAAAGCGTCAGTTAGATGACGCCTTGGGATGAGACCGGGCTGGGCTACTTGCCTTATAATTAAATAATTAAATTAATTAAATAAACACAAAATATTAAGTTAGTTAACATATTTTAACCATAACATTTGAACCATTCGCCCAAGCTCGCTAAGTTCCGGTGTAGCTTCACTTCCGACTCCGTCCGTACTTGGAGGCTAGTTTGGATAGCCAACCTGCTAACCAGCGACCGTCCCGTCGAGTTCAACCTGACCACCCGATTCAGCATCAGCATGGCATAGGCCTATGGAGCCTTTTATACATTGTCGTGTTTCTTTATAAATGAACAATGGACAAATGGAGTCTTTAGATACCTCAGATGTAAACTTATTCGCTGTGAAAGTGACGCCAAAATGAATTGAGAGAGATTAATCGTGGTCGCTCCCATAGCTCCTGTATTAAAAAACACCCCTACAGCAGTGTTAACTAGTTTCTTGTAATTTTAAGGCAAAGGTAATATAGGCTAATACAAAGTAAAGTGTTATAAATGATATACTTAAAAAAAAATTAAATATTAAAAACTTTGCAGGATTTACGATGATGAGGATCGTTAAAAAACATCACCACAGTCTGTGAAAAGGATAATATTGAGAGTGAGGAGTCACATGCCGATTTGGGCGGAGTCTGAGCCGGTCGGCCATGATGGTAGGAGACGTTATCGGTTGCCAGGGGCAACGCCTTCAGAAACTTCACGGAGGTGCGACTAAACATTCCAGTGTCTTTGGAAGATATGGAGAAGAAAGAGAAATGAAAGGGGTTCTATTGGGAGAGACTAAATAACAATGCTATCCAGCTTTATTTAGAGAAACTGCTTGTCATAAACTGACAGAAGCAACAGCGAGCAAAGCATGATTTCAAAAGCAAAGCAACAATTCACAGTTTGCCTTTTAACACAAACAAACTAAATTAATACTCTGTTATTCAATTAGAGAACTTGTTATAGATATATTTGTACTGCGAAATGTCTTAAAAAGACACCTTTTTTAATGACGTACGACTCGCATTGACGGGAATGTCCGATCTGTCCGCTTGATGTTGCACGGCAGGTGCAAATGCACATATGTGATTCATATCAGATTTATTTCCACATATGAATGAAGCCTGAAACATTAAGTATGACTGAACTCTCGCAGTTTAAAGGGATAGTTCACTTTGAAATTAATTTTTGAAATGTTTTATCTTACCTCAAGGGCATCCAAGATGTAGGTGTCTTTGTTTCCACAGTATTTTTAATTTTGACATTTTTCAGTCAAACCGTTGTTGTCTATCAGTCATACACTGGAGGCTAAGGGGGTCCACCAAAAAGCAAGCACAGAGAAGTCAAAATTAAACATGATTTAATGACTCGTACATGTAAGTACACATTGATGGCCTAAGACACGAAATGAGCGGTTTGTGTGAGAAAACTAACAGTATTTATATCGTTTTACCTCTTGTAACCATAGCCATGACAAAATGATCTGACGGCTTCGGTCTGCGCATGCGCCGGAAGTGATCGCTTGCGTGCCTACGTCACTCTTTGTTTACAGAGATTTTGGAAGTTTTACCTTTCACCAAACATATTCAGATATACGGGAAACTGCAATGGAAGACGATTTCGGTATATCTAAATATGTTTAATAAAAGGTAAAACTTCCGAAATCTCCGTGTAAATATTGAGTGACGTCACACACAAGCGATCACTTCCGGCGTAACATTGAACTGATTCAGTTCGGTTCAGTTGGACATTGCACAACTGATTCAGATCACTGTGATTACACGAGGTAAAAACGTTATAAATACTGTTCGTTTTCTCACAAAAACCGCTCGTTTCGTGTCTTAGGCCATCAATGTGTACTAACATTTACGAGTCATTAAATCATGTTTAATTTTGACTTCTCTGTGCATGCTTTTAGGTGGACCCCCTTAGCCTCCAGTGAATGACTGATAGACAACAACGGTTTGACTGAAAAATGTCAAAATTGAAAATACTGTGGAAACAAAGACACCTACATCTTGGATGTCCTTGAGGTAAGCTAAAACATATCAAAAATTAATTTCAAAGCGAACTATCCCTTTAACATTACAGGTTTGGGGGTTTCTAAGTCTTGCACCCAGCCGCAGCAGAATTGTTCATAAGCTTCTAATGACTTGAAGTTTCTGAACTCTTGCATTGTGTAGGCATTAGCCACTGATATTAAGTAATTGACTATGTCAAGGTATGTGAAAGGTGATAGTGCTTCGGGTCTTTCATCCATTCTGTAGCAGGTCGTACGGGTCAGTGTTGTTGATGTCAGGTAAGGTAGTATCTCTAAATAACGCTGCTTGGCCCCTTTCCTTTAGCTTAAAGTCAGTCTTTTTGTAAATTATTGATAACGGCAGATAATTCATCATATGGTCACACACATTAACCTTTGTACCATATAAAACCATGTTTAAACTGACGTTTGATTGTATCATTTGTAGTTCAGCTATAATTCTGTCCAATATTAACACTGGTAGGTGATAAGATCAAACTGAACATACAGATCAGGTGAATTATTTACTCAGCGTCTCTCAACCAAAAGAAAAAGAAGTAATTCACTTTTGTGTCAGAGGATGTTTTCATTGTGTTGTTTTCCCCCTTTTTTATTAACAAGTAACAGCAGTAAAACCACTTCCTTGATACTTCTCATCTCCATCTGAAGGTTTCAGTTTCCTCCAAACCTGCTTATTTTCCATCTGCGTTCCTGTACTACTAAAACCACGTTTATTGACACTAACTTTCCATACAAATGCAAATTTTGCACTAAAAACCTTTTGGATCGACTAATTTCTCACCATGTGTTCATTGTGAGCATTAATATAGGCCAGACATTTGCCTCAGATGTTTGGAGAGACGCTTGAAATGACAACATTTGACACTTGTGTCAGTGAGTAAAATAAAGGGAAGTAGTTTAATTTTCTACTACGTGTATATTGCTCAGCTTGCTCACAGAATGTAAGGGGCCGTCCACACAGAAGATGAGTCAGATTGTTTCTGCTAGTCTTTTCCATGGTTGCTAATGTTGCACAAAACTGCTTTCATGGGCTAAGACAAAAGTGACACCTGGGTGACACCTGGGATCCACTGCAAGGAGAGATTGCTAAATGTGTTTGCGTTACCTTTCTGCTAATTAATTACTTTGAGAATTAACTGAGAAGACACTTTGACAGCCAGATTATTCAAAGATATGGGTTACTCTTTGAAATTGCATGTTAGTGGCTGAATTTGTTTTTGTCCAACTAATAGAATTGTACCTGTTGTTATAGGATAAGAATAAGGAAGCATAAGGTCTTCCTGATGTGCTTACTGGGGATTTGTGCCGTTTCCTTACTTCATTACTACAAAGCCCTGCACAATATTTCACTGCTGCAGGAGCTCTCATCTTCCTCCACCCATCTAAAGACCCTGAAGATGTTCAGAGGGATCTTCTGGAATTTTCCGGCTACTGACCACTCCCAACAAGACTTCTACAGTCTCAGCCACCTGAAGGTAGAGGCGATGAGGGTGAAAGAAGTTTTAATCTAAGGTTTTCTACCTGATCTGTCCTTTATCTCATGTCAGAGTATAACCGTTTCCTCATGTGGATTAATGTACCTAGTACTGACTCGAAGAGTATTTATAAAGAGAGCTGTCTTCTATGCTTTTACGTGTCAGGGCATAATATAAAATCATCCGGTCCTTGGCAGGTCTTAAAATTAGGTAAATACAGCCTCAGATGAACAACAACACATGATATATTACAACTTGTCATTATTTATTTAACAAAAACTAGGCCAAAATGGAGAAGCCATGTGTGACAAACTAAGTACCCCCTTACTGCTTCCATAGGAGGGTCAGTCAGTGATGCTAATCAAATACATTTGATTAAAGGGATAGTTCACTTTGAAATTAATTTTTGGTATGTTTGGTAATTTTTTTTGGTATGTTTTGGCCTACCTCAAGGGCATCCAAGATGTAGGTGTCTTTGTTTTCAACAGTAGTTTCAATTTTGATATTTTTAGGTCAAACCGTTCTTGTCTGTCAGTCATATAATGCAGGTCTATGGTCACCACCTCAAAGAGCATGCACAGAGAAGTCCAAATTAAACATGATTTAATGACTCGTAAATGTAAGTACACATTGACGGCCTAAGACACGAAACAAGCTGTTTGCGTGAGAAAACGAACAGTATTTATATCGTTTTATCTCTTGTAACCACAGCCACGTACAAATGATTTGAAGGCACGGGCACTTCGGTCTGTGCAAGCCCCGTAAGTGATCTCTCGCGTGTGTACGTCACTCATCGTTTACACAGAGATTTCGGAAGTGTTACCCTTCCCTGTGAAGATCTAAACATATTTAGATATACAGAAAATCGCAATGGAAGACGATTTCGATATATCAACAGACAACGTTGAATATTTTTCGCAACCGTTCGGGAGAGATCACTTCCGCTTCTTTACGGCGCTTGCACAGATTGAAGCGCCCGCACCCTCAGATCACTTGGCTGTGGTTACAAAAGGTAAAAACGATATAAATACTGTTCGTTTTCTCACACAAACCGCTTGTTTCGTGTATTGTGCGATCAATCATTGTGTACACATTCACGAGTCATTAAATCATGTTTAGTTTGGACTTCTCTGTGCATGCTCTTTGATGTGGTGACCATACCCTGCATTATATGGCTGACAGACAAGAACTGTTTGACCTAAAAATATCAAAGACACCTACATCTTGGATGCCTTTGATGTAACCTAAAACATATCAAAATTAATTTCAAAGTGAACTATCCCTTTAACTGATCATCAGCAAGTGTCATCACCTCTATGAAAGGAGAAGTTTTGGCTGTTTGATACAGTATCTATCTCTCGTTGGCAATCGGACCCTGCTTCACACCACAGTCATGATAAAAACATCTGTGTATTCATTCATCCATAAACATTAGATCAATCTGCATGACGACAACTAGAGAGGTTAGCGAACCCTAGCAGCGAAAAAATAACATTTTGTATCTTTAAAGAAACTACAGTGAAGGGTTAGTTCACCCTAAAATGAAAATTATGTCAATACTGGCTCACCATCATGTCATCCCAAGCCCGTAAGACCTCCGAAGATGAATATTTTAGATTTAGTCCGAGAGCTTTTTGTTCCTCCATTGAAAATGTATGTACGGTATACTGTCCTTGTGCAGAAAGGAAATAAAGACATCATCAAAGTAGTCCATGTGACACCAATGGGTTAGTTCAAATGTTTTGAAGCTTCGAAAATACATTTTGGTCCAAAACTAACAAAAACTACAACTTTATTCAGCATGGTATTCTCTTACTTTGTAAGACTAATATTGATATAAAGGGAATATATTTTGGCGTCCAAGTACAGTACCTGGCTTGACTACAAATGTCAAACTGTATTTCTAATAATGATATTCTTTTCCTCCAAACAGACTCAATATGACTCAAATGGGATTGTGCCAGATCCTCCAGGTGAGAAACTTCACGAACGTACCTTTGTCCTCCAAGATGATTCCACACCCTTTTTCATCCACACCAAATCCGGAGCTGTGTGCTTCCATGAGGGTACGGATATGGCCGCCTCTTCTTCTCACCACAGGTTACTGCAACATAACTCCAAAGACGACACAATCAATGCAAGCAAGAAGGTGGTTCAGTGTCCCTGTCGGCAGGGTTGGCACGGCCCTCACTGTGGCATACCTACAATTGTGTATCACTCCAATCTCCCGTCCAAGTCAAAAGTACAACCCAGAAAAGTTCCACGTCGAGTCATCAATGCCATCAACGTCAACCATGAGTTTGACCTACTACACGCTCGATTTCATGAACTTGCTGATGTTGTGGACGTGTTTTTGGTTTGCGAATCTAACTATACCGCGTACGGTGACAAAAGACCTCTTTATTTCCGGCACCTTCTCCTGAACGGAGCGTTTGATTACATTAAGCACAAGATTCTGTTCGTCTTCCTGGACCACTTTCCAGTGGGCGGCCGTGAGGACGGCTGGATCATGGATGATTACCTGCGCACATATTTGACCAAAAATGGAATGTCGAGGATTGAGGGCCTCAAAGCGGACGATGTTTTCGTCATCAACGATGCAGATGAAATCCCTGCTCGAGATGGAATCCTTTTCCTCAAACTCTACGACGACTGGACGGAACCGGTTGGGATACACATGCGCAAATCCCTATATGGATTTTATTGGAGGCAATTCGGAACGCTAAACATCTTATCTGCTTGCACGGCAGCTATGCTTTTTAAGGTTTACAGGGGTGATGGGATTCTTCTTCGCCGACGATCCTATTATTCAATTCCGGGATTCCGGGAATATGAGAACTCCACGGGACGCATTCTAGTCCCGTGGGCCATCGGAAGCCCCGTTCACTATGCTGGATGGCACTGCTCTTGGTGTTTCAAACCAAAAGGGATTTATTACAAGCTCATATCAGCTCAGAATGGAGACTTCCCACGTTGGGGCGATTACAGCGAGAAACGTAATATAAGTTATATTGAAAAGTTAATACGTACAGGGGGTTGGTTTGATGGGTCTGTACCAAACTACCCACCCACAGACCCCAAAGAGCATATGTATGCTCCCAAATACTTCCTGGATAACTATAATAAATTTCGCTACTTGCTGGAGAACTTATTTGCCAAAGAGAAACGTTAATAGAAATGGATCTGTTTCAAATGGGCATTTACGAAGTTAACCTGATAGTTTCTGTATCCTAATGTTTATGTATTCATAATGAGAGAGTGTTACAGCGGGACTGTGGTAAAAATTGCCTTAGTGCACTTTTTGCATTGATGCTTTGATTCTTAAGATAAGTCATCACTATTCTCTCTCTTTTTTTCCATTAAAAATATCATCCTTTAAAATCAGCGTGAAGTAAAAATGGACAAATATTTTTATTTTTATGGAATATTGCTGTATTTATCCATGCAAATCATTATTATTTTTTAATTAATATGCTCTCCTAATCTTGAATCAAAATAACTTTCCCTCCCTCTTGCAGCTCATCTCTTCTTTTATGCAGTGTTCACTGGCACGGGGGCGGAATAACCTGTCACTCACTTGACATCACACCAATAGCAAACCCCCATCCAATCAAGTCCCGCCCTACATTTTTTGTTGTTCAGAAGCCTTTCACTGATTTAGCCTGTCACAATATACAACTTTCCTTTCATGCCAACTTTAAACAAGTATATAAAATAAATACAATTATATTATAAATACATAATATAAAAACAATAGTAATATAAAATACATTCTTATTTCTACAAAATAATATGCATAATACTTGTTTTCAGAGACTATATCTTAAAATTAAAGGTTTGCGGAGGATTTTCTTTTTCCGGGTGGGTAGTCTATACTATTGGTCCACCTAAGTGTCAATCATTCTGGTGATATTACGTAAGGCCGTCGTACGTGCTCCCTATAGTTTTCACTTTCAGGTGTTTTATGTCGGAGTTACGGTTTCAGCCATTCCTTTGAAAATGGCTGAGAGTCGAAAGTATGATAAGAAGAGAAAGGCCGCAGAATATAGAAACAAGACCAGAGTGATTTGGGGTGAATCACACGTTGGCGTGCGCTAAAAGCACAGGTTGGGCTTCTCACTGATGCCGCAGTCGCGAAGATTCTACTAGACAGGTAAAGTTTGTCTTGCTATTTGGAGAAATCCATATAAAATCACTAGTAAAAGTTAATGCAAGCTACAGTTAGCAATGCTAGCCCTGGCACAAGTCATGCACCGGATAGACACGGTAAACATCTCAATTTGTCTAAAGTAGCCTTTTGACCAAATGGTAAATGGTATCTAAAACCTTGTGTGTTCATATTCTAAAACCTTGTGTGTTTATTATTACACAAATGCAACAAGCTACTTCTCCGTTACATATGCAATGTATACAAATAACGTATTAATACCTACGTATTAAAAATGAGACATAAGGATCAACGTAATGCACTGCTTATGTTGCCATGTAACGTAATTGCGATTTGCAAAATAGTTTCCTCAGAACGTATTTCGTGTGATACATGGTTACGTCTTGAGTCCTCGGTCACTCAATCGATCAGTATAATAACACGGAAGGTCATTTGACATGTTGTCTTTTTTATGAATGTTTTTGAGTTAGTTTATAATTTGCAACATAATTGTGCATGGCGTAATAGGCGTTCCCTCTCGGGAGCAAGAGTGTTGTGTTTGTGCATGTGCATTTAAAAAAAAAAAAAAAAATTGGAGAGGGCGGGTCTTTTCTAAAATTCATTTTTAATTTTCTTTGACAAATTTCTAATTTTTAAAATTGGATGAATTTTAAATCTGACTTCAAGATGCATGCATTATCTTACAAAGTTTGTAAAGTGGTCTTGTTTGTACAAGATGGTGAAAAAAATATATTTTATACATTTATAAAATGTAATCTGTTTATATTTCTAATTATTTTTACACGTTAAACAACAATGATATATCAGCTGCAATGGCACTTTATGTCCACTGAACTATAATGGCCCCATCACAGTCTGTAAGATCTTGCTGATGGCTTGAGTTTCAAGGCTTTCACAGGGTCTGTCATGCTCTGTGGGCCTTGGATACAGATACGTTAAGCATTAGCTGTCACTATCACTGATGTGAATCTTGTAGATTGTGCTTTGAAACAGGAACTGAGTTTGCTGTTTCAGCACAGTTAGCAGCAATAGGAAAGACATTTTTAGAAAACAAACAGCCAAGACAAATACGGGAAGTTTTAGAAAGCATGGCATTTAAAAGCATTCAAACCTTGTTAAAAATGAAGAGAATTCAATTGTTCATGTGGGTAAATTTAATTATGCGTTCTCTGGAAACTGAACCCTTGACCTTTGTGCAGTTAGCACCATGCTCGCGGGCTAGGCTACTGTTTGAACGGCAGGAAATCTCCCACAAAGCTAACTTTCACTTTGCCAGTTTAAATGGTTGGATTCGACCAAACATTAAAAGTGCTATGTTTAATTTAAATGCAGCTTTAATATTGGCCTCATCCATAATGTTAAAGCTAGGGTATATGATTTCAACGATTTTTCATTATTAATGTCCCCGCCATTAATTAAGTATTAATTAATTATTAATGGTGGGATGAGTTTTCTCGACCGAATTTTAACATCGTAAACCATATAACTCTTTTCGCTCTTTTCTTGCTTTGACGGAATTTTCCGTGTTTTCACTGTTTTACGGTAGAGGGCGCTATGGGCTCTATGCACGGCGGTATTTCCGGTGAAGCATTAGGGATGCTCGATAACTTCCGCCGATCGTAGAGTCCAATGCAATACCGAGAATTTATATTGAATTTTATACTTCATGGTTATACTAAAGAAACGTTAGTCACAAAAACAGATAAAACAGACACCCCTTGTTGTGTTTATGCTTCTTTTTAAAATTATATTAAATAAATATAACTATATATAAAATTACATCTAAACGTATGTACGTTTCATTTCAAAGACTGGAGGACAGTAAATTTTGAAGACTGTGCCATAATCCCGTTTTCCTCGGTTTTCCTCCGCTTTAATCTCCACAACCGGAAATGGACGAGCATCCTTGCGTCAAATGCAGAATTTATGCGTGCATAAAGCCCATTACGCATCTTCAGAGAATGTATCTCCTGATCAAAACACATACGAGGAAGATGCTCAAAACAAGCAGTATCACGCAGTATGTAATCATTTGCATATGTAAAATAACGTGATCACAAAAATTAAACAGCATATAGGCTAAATCAAATCTGTCAACGTTGTACTGAATAAAATGTAGACCCAAAACGGTCTGTAGGACTGTGCAAGCATGGGCTCGTCTGAATATCCTATGATCCAGAAATGAGAAACCACTTTTTTCAAACGTGATTTACTTGCAAAATGTTGCTTTTTTCAAATTAAACTTGTGTTGATAAAAAAAGAATGGATTAAGCTAGAATAAAACGTTTTAAGGTTGTTGTTTTTTTAAGCAGAGGGCCTGTTCTTTGTTTTGATAGGCTATTGCATAGATAGATATTCATACGACAATATTAGGGGCCATGACATTTTGTGAAAAAAATTATCAAAAATGCTGGCAGGGAAAAAGTTCATATGTGCCATTTTGACTGCTGTTAACATCCTCCTGTGAATTAATAGAAAAAAACTGGCCAGATGCATCACAGCAGTGAATGATGATGTGACATTTTGGTGTTGTTTTTTAAAATTTACTGCCAAGATAATAGGCTAACTAAATGTATATTCATAGACTAACTTAACTAGATTTGCGATGATGGTGATAACTGAAAACGCGTCATCACAGTAAACCTTGTTTATTGAACTCGTAACCCTGCTGTTGCACTAAATCCCGGCTATTATCAGCATCAGCACTCTTACTCGTGTGATGCTGCTTCATTTTTGCTTTTTATCTCAGGTAGAAATCTTGCTAAGTTGACGAGGTTTAAAAGTGCGGAACTGTCCCGGCTCTAGTCACTCAGTGGGTGTTTTTTTTTATGGGACCAGAGGGCAACAGTGCGTCTGTTTACCCGAGGGCAGAGGTGGACACTAACAAGTATATGAGTAGGCTACTGTACTTAAGTACACTTTTTGAGCATCTGTAGCCTACTTGAGAATTATTTTTTCTAGAAACATTTTATTTTAACTTCAGGACCTTCATCAAGGACCTTGAGTAGAAAGTACTAACATCAGTCAGGGGGTGATTTTGGCCCTTGGGGTTGCATTTTTGTTGGAAATCAATGTCAAGTTGATGTTAGAACCCGACTGATGTTGATTTCTGACATCAAGACGAATTTCATTTTCAAACACAACACAACGTCTGTCCGACGTTGGGTGTTGACGTCAATCTGGCTTTGGATTCTATCATCAGTCTGATTTTCACTTTCAACGTTGGGTTTTGTCTTCTAAATGCAAGTGTTGTCATTGTTTTGGAGCACATTACAGTGGGGCTAACATAATACTAAGAGCCAAAACACTTTAAAAGAAGGGGCATTATTTGAGCGTCGCAAATAGCTATTTGGGTGTCCAAAACCATTGTGGAGGTTATTGAGTACACTTATTCAATTCAATTGAGTACACTGAAATGGTGTTCTAGAAATACATTTGATATTGAAATGAGGGTATGTTGGCAGGCATAGATTCAGAGGCAAACAATGCATTGACATTTACTTTTGATACTTAAGTACTTTTAAAAGCAAGTACTTCTGTACTTTACAAATCAGTCTTTACAACTTTTCCTTGTAACAGAGTAATATTTGACCAGTAGGCCTAGTATCTGTACTTTCACTCAAGGAAGGAAGTAGTGTACTTTGTCCATCCAGTGAGCCGCTGAGCTGCTTTTGTCCGTTTCCCCTGTTGATTTCCCCTTCGTACATGGCAGAAATGCAACATTGTGTAACCAGCTAAAATATTATGAGAGACTTTTGCCAGTATTTACAAAGACAAAAACGGTTTCTCCGATCTGTACACTCTGGATACATTGTTAACCACTTAACTGTCACCGTCCCACAGGTGGGACGTTTGCCACTATATTTTTAAAACAATAATATCTTAGTAAATACCGTAAATAATATTGACAAACTATATATCATTTGAAAGCTTACAATCTCTAGTTTCCATATTTGGTGACTGATTTTCAAAATATATTACAGAGGAGCCATAATTTATCAATATAAAACAAGAATATTTTCATACTCATAAGGCGTGTTCAGACCTTTATTTTAAAATAACAGTAAACATGAAAAATCATGAAAAAATGGTAGATACCTCAGTTTGTTTTCATGTCAAAAGTTCAAAAGATAGAATCCATTCAATTATTTTGGAAAAAAAAGGTCTGAAAAGTTTGAAATATCAAGAAAAAAATAATAAATTCACCATTTGTGACGTGGCAGCTAGCTATGACTTACATGCGTGTTCTTTGTATGTGTTTCTTAGAGGTTCAATTCATATCAAAATCTGCCAAACTTCCCATGCTACTTCTGAATAGGATCTCTACTTCAGAAATTGTATGAAAATTGTGAAAATAATGGTTCATATCACTCAAAACACGAATGGAAATGCAGGCGCCCTTATATGGGCAGTAATGGAGTCTGATTGTGCCCTAGTGAAAAAGTTTGGTACTGCGCTCAAACAAAATCTTACTGAAAGCTCATTTTTTGAGATATCAACCTAAAATTTGAAACACAACTTGTTCAGATTTTTGGCTTTGATTTTTCTGCCATTTTAGAGTAGCCCAGGTTTTGAAAATATATATTTTATGTAAAATATGAATAATTAATATGTTTGCATTGTACATTTCCATAAACTCAAACCTCTATAACTTTTTTTCTGTTTCACTTTCTTAATTTATTTCACTTCTACAAAAATCTGCCAAATGTCTTCTTTAAAACAAGACCAATCATATGTCTATATTCCAAAGCATTCTTGAATTACAACCATTTAAGTTCGAAATGTGCATTTTCATGTCTATTCAAAAAAGGGGGGGTGACAGTTAACAGGTTAAATCTCTTAACAACACCAGCCTAAGAGGAATAATTGACAAGTTTCATTTCTATTGTTCATTTACAGAGGCCCTAGTTGCATAGCCTAACATGCATAGTAGTGTGGAAAGAGAAGTTGGTTTAGGCTTCAAAACTACATTGTTTTTTGGGGGGGCTTTTTTTTAATGTCTCGTAGGGTACTTGGAATATTTTGTTAAACATTTCCTCTTATATGATGATAGAATTTACATTTGTGGCTGAACAGTTTCTTTTCTCAGTTAACAGTTTACATGAGAAATGTTCCTGCTGTGCTGTGCCAACATGTTGAACGATTGTACTTCCTGTAGAGAAGTTAGAAGCCATAATTCTGTACTATTGAATAACTCTCTGTAAAGGGTTTTTCTTTCCAACACATTAAGTAGGGTAATTTGATGAGTCAAATGTTAACGCACTGGATTATGCTCTACTGCAGTCATTGTTTAATGATTGCTGTGCAATTACTGATATTTCAGATTATATTTAATGAAATGAGACTGTATTTTTCATATGTCTGTTGTTGCACAGGAATGTTGGAAATAAGTGGGATAATTTTACTCAATGATGTTGATTGCTCTTGTGTCGAATTCAGAGGAGAAGTTTATAGTTTATTGATAATTTATCATTTGTGCAGGAAGTGACTTGTTTGTATGGAACATGTATTTGAGAAAAATAAATTCAGACTTTTTCTTCTCATGTTTTCTTAATAAGTGACCAATATGACAGCTAATTTATTGTGATCGTAATGACATGCGCTATGCCTATTCACCACTAGAGGGTGTGAGAACAGCAGCATTTTCTTCCGTTCAATGGCTGACATTGAACCAGTTTTAAATGAATAACACTATAATTTGAAATCATTATCATTACAAAAAAATGTAACCCGAATTTTTGTCTCGCACCTCTCTGTCGCAAGAAAAATAAGAAACAACAAGAACACTTCCATTCATGACTTATCAAGTGAAACGAACCCTTTATTGTGTCATTTAAAATCATCAATGAAAAAAATACTTGACATCCATACAGTACATTATCATAAAGCACCACTGAGATGTTAATATACAAACCAAAGCCTTTTTAAAATCACTGTCAAGCATGTCATTTATAGCACCTGATGTGTTCAAAACACAAATCATTTTAGCACCTGATTGCTTAGGCAACAACTGTGTTTTACTTTTCCTCAGCTCCATTTCTTTAATCATCCCAGAATAACTAGATTCCTGAGATCCGGATTCTGTTGTCCAGTCTGAAGCCGGATTAAAGGGATACTCCACCCAAAATTCATCATTTACTCACCCTCAAGTTGTTGCAAACCTATGAGTTTCTTCCTTCTGCTGAACACAAAAGAAGATATTTTGAAGAATGATTGGAGCCAAACAGTTGTTTGGCACCATTCACTTCCATAGAAAAAAAAAATACTATGATAGTCAATGGTGGCAAAGTTCCAGTCGTTCTTCTAAACATCTTGCTTTGTGTTCAGCAGAAGAACTCAACTCCTACAGGTTTGCAACAACTTGAGGGTGAGTAAATGACGACAGAATTTTCATTTTTGGGTGGAGTATCCCTTTAAGATACTAAACTAACAACCAGCATCTATTGAAGACTCTTTTAAGTCATGTGTTGGTTAGAGATCTTTAACTTGTGGTTACAGAACATTTAATCTTGCTCTCCCTCTCTATATTTCTATCATCTGAGTCTCTCTCAAGTGGATTATTGTTACTGAACTAGGAAAGCCACATACATCCTGTTTAACATCGACTAAAAGCCCCCACTCCTTCCAATAAACAGAGCCAGACACCAACACACACTCAAATCTGACTTTCTCAGTGCTCTCTGCCCATTAGTGGCTAATTACTTATCTTTTTATGGCGTTTTTTTTATAAATACACTACCATTCAAGTAATGGTTAGTAAGATTTTTGTTTGGTTGCACTTTATTTTACAGTACATGCCTAAGAAAGTAAGAAGGTGGTTATGTTTAGGTTTAGGATATTAGATTTCTGAAGGATCATCTGACACTTAAGGCACGAGTAATGATGCTGAAAATTCAGCTTTGATCATAGGAATAAATTCCAGTTTAAAATATATCAGTAATTTTAAATTGCAATAATATTTCATAATGACCATTTTTTGAGGTTTCAAAATAAGATCTAAAAAACCAACCTCAATCTTTTGAACAGTAGTGTATATTGGACTACCATCTACAAAACCCTAGCAACCCCACAGCAATCCACCACCCAGAACATCCTACAGCAACCTCATGCTTCAAACAGTGTGATGAACTTGTCCTGTTACGACTCCATTTGCCCGTTAAAGGTCAGAAAAGACCATCAGTAGGATCAAATAGTCAGTCACACCATGTAAACATCCTTTCACAACTAACATAAACCAGTTTCCATTTCCCAGACGCTGCAGATACATCTTAGGAAGACAAAACACAGACTTAAATATCTGGGCTACATCAGTGTCCTTCAGATTTGAACTGTTGATTATCCAGTAGTTAACCGACCTGTCCCTAAATTCTAACAACTGTATTAATATTACCATGAGTCTTAGCATTTCTTGTCTGATGCTCTTGACAGACAATGTGGTTGGCACCAAACCCCATATCTGATGTAGCATACGTTCTTTGCTTTGCATAAATTTGTTTTTGAAGATAACATTACACAACCTGCCCATGTGGGCATCCTTCTAATTTGATAAGCTTTTACCATGAAATAAAATAACACCAACTTACTGTAATTTGTATAGATACTGTATAGTTTGGACGCACAGATTTTGACGTCAACAGCAAAAGATATGGGAAGTGTTTTCACGTTTTTTAAACATCAGTTTTTAATTTGTATTTAGCTTTGTTATTCCATCAGAACAGATCCATTTTTGGGTCGTGATCCACCAGTTGAGAATGGTCGGACATCATTTTGTGCACAGTCACTGGTTTTCTGTATTTGGGGGGTTTCGTTTAAACTTTCGTTGAAATTTTCAGTTTTGTTCAAGTTGCTTCACCGCTCAAGCATTTTGGCATCTTGTCCTTCTTCCTGCCGTCGTTTCTGGTATTACTCAGTCTCAGGTTTGATGAGGTAGCCGTTAAAGGTGATGTAAATGTCCACGTCGTCGCTGTAGATGGCATTCTCACGCTCCCGCTTGTAAAGACGGACCCAGACCTCGTCGCCCTCCTGTAGACGCAGCATGACGCTCTGGCTCTGCATGATGGAGCGGTCGCTGGGCTGAGCGTAAACGATGGCCCTCTCGCTATCGTTCTGCATGATGTGCAGGTACGTTTCCTTGAAGTTCCACGTGTGGATGTTCACATTGAAGAAGTAGATTCCCGGTATGTGGCAACGGTACTTCCCAGCAAACATGTCAAAGTGTTCGGGGGTGTTGACGAAGATGGTGTCAAAGATCAGGGCCTGGTAGTTGTCAACGCTGTGAAGGGACTTCCGTCGGCCGACTGAGAAAGCAGAGTGCTGAGACTTGCAGGCGTCGCCTGGGGCTCCGGCTTGCCCCTTATCTCCTTTAAGGCCTTCAGACCCTCGTGTTCCCGGGGAACCCTCAATCCCAGGCTTCCCAGGAGTGCCCCTTTCTCCACGGTCACCCTTGTCACCTTGAAAAGATGTCAGAAAAGTCAGAAAGATTCAGAAGGAAAAAGAGCTAGAAGCCTAAAGGAAACTAAATCATGTATTAGGCTAGAATTCAGGTTGACATTATAAACATTTTTACAGTTTTTAACCTTATAATGCCTGTATATTTGATACACTAATTTCCTCTAAATTATCAACATATACACAGTCTACTACATGCCAATATATATTTTTAGCAAGTAAAATGCCTTTTAATATAATTCTAAAAACAACCCTGTTCAGATCGTGACGACTTTTACAAATTAAACGTTATACGAGTAATAATAATACATAATAATAATAAAAAAACATTAAAATGTGAGTTTCAAATATGATTCATGAGGCTTTTGAGGAACGTTTATTTGTCTATTTCTCAATCATCTGTTATGGATTTTCAGGAATGAACCCAATCGCAGACAGTTTGCTGATACAAGGTTTATTGATAAAAAAAAAAGGAAAACAAAACCCCACGAGGGTGGAAAAAACCAGTAGCACCTCAATGCAGAACATGAGATCCACGGGGAGGAGTCGGATCACGATCCAAGGCCCCGTCCACACTACTGCGTTTTCGTTTAAAAACGGAGACCTTTTGCTACGTTTGCACCTCCCGTCCACACTAAAACGGGAAAAACGAAGACCTAAAACGGAGAAGTTTAGAAACGCTGCAGCTGCGTTTTGCGTTTTGAATCTCCGGAGGGCGTTTTAGTGTGGACGAGACAAAACGGAGGAGTTTACAAACGATGACGCAGAGGCTCACGCTCGGCTCTAAGATTGGGTGTCATCAGTCATGACGTATCTTTCCCTGATTCGCCAACCACTGTTTACACCGACGCGCGCATGCCCAGTGTTGGTGAATGGTCACGTGATCCACGTGTTCAGTCGTTTTAGTGTGGACGGAGATAAATTCTAATACGCAGGTAAAACGCTAGTGTGGACGGAGATCGTTTTCGTTTTAATTCTCCGTTTTTAAACGAAAACGCAGTAGTGTGGACGGGGCCCAAGGGGTGGAGATGGGTAGGATTAGGGTTGGGTTTAGGGATTAGGGGTGGGTTTAGGGATCAGGGGGCGGAGTTGGTTAGGTTTAGGTGTATGTAAGGTGGGAGGAGTTGGATCTGGATCCGACTCCTCCCCATGGATTTCATGTTCCGCAGTGAGGACCATCTCGAAAAAACAGCTCAGGCTAAGCAAAAGACTAACACTAAACTAAGACTTCAACATAAAACTTCACAGGAACAAAATAGCTATAACAAGAAAACTTCTTTGTTCAAACAGAACAAGACAGGTATATGTTAACCATGTAAGAATACACAATGAACCAACACAGGACAGGGAAAACAGATAACGACAGCAGGTGACACTGATCAGGCAATGAAGACAAGATGAGGATAACAAGGGGGCGGGGTAAGAGAACGAGACAACAAGCACACAGCCCAAACTCAAGGCCATGTGCCTGAACATAAAACATGGTCTGTCATGATCCTGCCTCAAGACTAGAGAAAAAAAATGACAAGAGGGCAGGAGTAGTTCACTTTTAAAAAAACTTTTGCTGATCATTTTTACTCACCCCCATGTCATCCATTTGTCCATGTCTTTCTTTCTTCAGTTGAAAAGAAATTAAGGTTTTTGATGAAAACATTCCAGGATTTTTTTTCCCATATAATGCACTTTACTGGGAACCAAACGATTCAAGGTCCAAAAGACTGGAATCGTTTAATGACAAAAGGCTTTAATTTAAACGATTCCAGCCGGTGAATAAGGGTCTTATCAAGCCAAACAATCGCTCATTAAAAAAAAAAATTAACAAAGTTTAAGTTTTATAAGCTCAAATGGTCACCTTTCTCTGTTCTGTGTGACTCTCCTGTTCGAACTCGTTCATCAAAACGAACGAATCTTTTTTTCCGAGTCAATTCATTCATTTCGTTCGTTGAATGAACCAAATGACACAAAAAAGATTGTTCATTTTGATAAATGAGTTTGAACAGGAGAGTCATGAACGTGCATCACAGAACAGAGCAAGGCAACCATTTGAGCTTATAAAACTTAAACTTTTTTTTAAATGAGCGATCGTTTCGCTAGATAAGACCCTTATTCATCGTCTGGAATCATTTAAAGCCCTTTGAACAGTTTGCACTGAAAGTGTCTTTTGGACCTTGAACTGTTTGGTTCCAAATGAAGTGCATTATATGGAGAAAAATGCTGGAATATTTTCATCAAAATTCAAAAACCTTAATTTCTTTTCGACTGAAGAAAGAATGACATGGACATCTTGGATGATATGGCGGTGAGTAAATTATCAGCGAAAGTACTCCTTTAAGCATGATTATCTTTAAGATATAATACTGGGTGAGTGAAATCTGGTAAATATATTCATTTTATGCAAGTAGTCTCTAATACTGTTAAACATCTCAATGACTTGCATTACAAGCTTCATATTAAGGTTTCACCTGACTTCTGTTTTCATATAAACAACATCATCTGCACCAAATGACATATTTTTGCTCAGTTTGGTCTTTTGAATAAAAATCTAGGTATTTTTTTCCCACCTCGAGTACGAGCTCCATATTCTCATATCATGCTATTCTCCTATATCATACTGCTTTTATTTTGTGATCATTTTAATTACTTTCAGTAAAGCACTTTTAATTACCATAGTGTATGAAATGTGCTATATAAATACACTTGCCTTGTTATTAACTAATGTTAATGTATTGAACCTAATTATAATTATAAAGTGTCCCTATACCAATGTTGAAAGCCGAAAAGGCACAAGTGCAACTTCTGGCAGACTAAAATAAGTCCCTAGAATCTCAAAAAAAAAAAAAGGCTTAGTTTCTTTTCGTTTGTCCATCTTTGTCGTACCTTTTCGGCAGCTCAAAATTTCCACAAACCACATTTCCTGCAGGCTTCATTTCTGTACATGCAACAAACACATACACATATGTGCATGCACAGACACATAAAACAACTCTCTCATAACAGTTCTTGCCACATCACCACCTTTCCTGCCAGATTTGTCACTTCCTGTCCACCAAGAGGTCCTCCAGCAGAGCAGATATTTCTGAGCCAAGAGAGGTTAACTGAGGCTCACTGAGGGGAAGAAAGCAGCTAAAACCAAGCGGCAACATTCTAATCTGAACAATGAAGCCTACCAGGAGGTGCTAAAAACTGCAGTATATCGAAAAATCCGCTAGAGGGAGGTCACAAAAGGGAGCAAATATCCATAGACCCGTTTAAAATGTCCGTTTTCACAGCATAAATTCATGCTTTTACAGGTTGGTCCCATTGACTTTTATTGTATTTTTCGATGGGTTTCGAGTGCCTGACAACTGTGAGGGGGGTGAATTTTTTTCTAATTCTTTAGTTTAAATCGCATTTAGATATAAAATGTATGACAAATATGGGCGTGGTTAACTTTGATTGACAGCTGATAACGGGCTGCGCCAAGTGGAATTCCTGAAATCATAATAATGATATTTGGATTATATATATAAATTTGTTTTAAATTAAATTTTATGAACGAAACAGCTTGTAAATATACTTTATTACCCGAAAAAAATGAATAACCTGTTGAAGATTAAAATATTATGCAATCATTTAAGACATTTCTCCCTATAGAAACATTCAGGCATAAAATAGTTATATTAGTGGATAGAATCAAAGGGTTCCGAATAGAACCCCATTGAACCATGTACAGTGAAACATTTCGCATTTTGTCTTGAGCTAAAGCGCCTACCTTTGAGAATGGTCATGTTGATGTATGTGCGGACCTCAGGCACGCTTTCTCTGAAGGTCGCGGCGTCATCTAGTCGTGGGAGGTGGTCGCAGCATCGACGGCAGGGCGGTTGAGGTACACAGACAACCAGATGTGGAGACAGACAGGCAAGCAGGAGGAACCCAAACATGGTGCGACCTGAGAAAAGAGAACAAATACGCACTTATAACAGTCACTCCCTATAATAACGTTCCACACACTTGTTATTTTGCTAATTTTGCTATTAATATTAATATTATATTTTGCTAATTTTTTGCTAATTTGCTAATTTAATTTGTGTATTTATTAGTGGGATCATTAAGGTAGACTGGATAAGTGTAATCCTGATAAATTGAAAGAGAGGGGCTTCTGGGTAGTGCTGAGTGGAATGCAGCCTGACAAATGTAGGCCCCTTCAGGAAACAGATTAATGTTTCTGTTGTTCTGAGTCCATTACTACAGCTAAACTAACAGAGTTCAGTCTGTCTGCCTGTCTTTCTTCCCACAGGCAGAATCCAGTTAAAATATGCCAAAGTTCATCTGCTAATTCTCATGAGATAAAATGTTAAAACGCTTCCAAATTCATGTCTGCGAAGAATGCATGATGTTAAAATACTTTCTGTACTGATACTAATCATTGGCTGAATGCCTTGAAGAGTGTAAACACTGTGGTTGTGTTGAATTTCCGTTGACTCATATAGCGCCAATCAGATGGAGACGGCTGTGCAATTATTCAAATTAACTTTTGCCATGCTGCCAATGATTATGGTATGATGTACTTCAGAAACTGGCCCAAAGTAGCAAAAAAAAAAAAAAACCTGGCTGGATGCTTTATCCTGCATGTAGGTCAAACATCTCTTCCTGTCTAAGTGAGTAGTTTCTTGATCAAAAAAAGTGGAATATGAACCAGTGGATTATATAAAACATCATATAATCAAGATGAAAAGCAACAACAACAAAAAAATCGCATTCCTTGTCGGTGAAAGACTGTGGTTGACCAGCAAATATATAAAAGTTACATCATCATGAAGGCAAAATTTCTGTTTTCAACATTTATAATAATAAGAAAATGTTCCTGAGCAGCAAATCAGCATATTATAATGCTTTCTGGAGGATCATGTGACACTTAAGACTCAAGTAATGATGCTGAAAATTCAGGTTTGACATCTCAGGAATAAATTAAATTTGAAATATATGCAAACAGAACATTAATATTAGAATTTTTGATTAAATAAATGCAGCCTTGGTGAGCAACAAAAGACTTCTTTCAAAAACATTAAAAACATTTACAGACCCAAAACGAAAATGTACTTTGAAACAACTCCACTAACACATGTATTCGGTCATGTTCACCAAGGATCAGTGAAGAGACCAATAAGAGTGTTTGACTTTTGGATCTCACTTGGAAAGCAGCAGCACAGCTTTCAGTATCAAACTCTTCTTTGTGGTGTGCTTTATTTTGAGTGGGAGCATTTTTTATGATCTGAAGGCAGGCTCTTTATTACGTCAGACTACAATAGGCTGTTGAGTCTGACATGAGATCCATAAGAGAATTAAAGCTTTTGGCATGAAACGTCTCAACAACTCGATAAAAGTCCAAATTAAAAGGGTTAGTCATAAAACTTTCATGCTAATATCCAAGTGCAGGTGACAGAAATACATTGACTTGCATTGAATAACTATGGGATCAACCATGACTCAAATTCATACAAAAATAATCAGTCCTTGATTAATTGATAAAAATAAAAAAAAAACATCACACTACACTATTACATTAAATGTTAGGTAACTTTTGGCCTTCTAGTGGTTAAAAATAAAACTTCATGCACGTTGCGGAAGAACATTGTTTTGGTTGTGCTTCGGCTCTATGTGACTGCGCGGATGAATGCGGTTATCCTACTGTTGATTAAACATTCATTATATAACCAGTTTAGATGGAAAGGATCTCAAGCTGACAAGCAGAAGACATTACTGTAGCTTTACCCATAAATAGACATGGTAGTACTTTGAAAATAAAACCATAAGATCCATAATGAAATGACCGTTTACAATAGACAATGTTTTACAATGAACTGTTAGAGAGCTATATTTAACAATTTATCTGTTCAACAAGATACCTTACTCACCTGTTGAGTAATAAAAACCCCATATCCACTTTTACAACAAATCCTTTCCACTCTCAAGCCATACAGATTATGACGAGACACGCACGGGCGATTGACATAGGCTATGTAGGCTACACAATTTCGCACAAAATATCTGAATAAACACTTACCATAGTGAATCACGGTCAGACAAAAACCTGAGGAATTCATTCTTCTGAGGACAAATTCATGATGTATTGGCTCATTATTAAAAAAATATATATAGTGTAGGCCTTTTAAATAAAGCTAAAATTCAGCTAAATGTTCCATCATCAATTCAATAAGACTATCAAATAAAATTGAAATGTTTTTGATTTAAACGTTCTAAAACAAAATACATGAAGTCTCTCTTCCTGTATTACTGTAGCCATACTGTAAAACAACAGGCGGGTTTCAGCCGGCAGAGCATGAACGCTTTCCACATGCTCTCTGTCTCGGCAGCTGTCCATCTGCTGGAAAGATGTTAACTAGCTCGCAAAAACTTTCTGAGCACTGTAACTTATACAGATCACCTTAATGAGGCTGCACAGTTTTGCTTACAAAAATTGCCACTAAACAAATTTTCCTTTATAAAAATCCTAAACGAACTAAATTAAGCCGTTTATTTCTGGTGTGATTGCATGTGCATGTGTGTGAAAGCAAAACTTACAGTACTTTGTGATGTGTTTGCTGCTGCCGTTGGGTCAGTGCGCTGAGAAGAGAAAAAGAAAAGGGAAAAATCCTCAGTCAGATAATTTCTCCCTCCCTCTTTCTCTCTCCCTCCCTTTCTTGCTTTCTAATTCACCCCCAGTGCATTTCTTCCATCCCATTTCTGAACATAAACTCAAAGAGCCTCCTGGCTGAGACAGACTTTCCTATTTATTTTACTCTTCTTCGCTTTCTCCCTTTCTCTAATATAAAGTGTCGGTCAACTTCTCCATGAAAGTTGATTCTTGTCCAAACAAATGGTTTTCAGAAAGATTAGTTTTTGTCTGTTTCTTTCAGAACCTTCCCTGTTTATTAGAACAAAGCAAACCATGTGAAGACCCACAACATTTATCAACATAAAAATTTATAAGCACACACACAAACACGAGTGAACTCGGTCAGAAACTCAATGCGGCCTGTATAGTATGTATATTTGCAGGATGCAACTTGTTACATGAATAGCCAAGATTTTGGTCTTTAGAGGCCTATGTTCATCTACAAGAAAAATTTCACAACGTATACCAGTGCACCATGCACTTCTGCGGAAACACATTAGTTTTTCTATCATGGTGGGATTTTTCCTCTGATTGTAAGTGGTTTTTATACTGAGCTAATTGTATTCTTAAACCAAATTGCAGAAACCATACTTACATTTTCAATAAACCTTTTTTTAGTTTATTAAGCTGTTTTCCGCATTCATTCTATACAATTCTATACCTAAAATATACATATTTTTATACCTTATATATAAAATAATTAGCCTACTATAGATTTCCATACTCGTAAAAGAAACTTTATTTGTCTAATAATAAAAAAAATCAAATGTGAATTGTTCCCTAATTATGCTGATGCATCCCACAAAGCTAATCCGAACATACAATACTTTGTAGAGATGCAAGCAGCATTTGCAATATGACAGATATAATATATCATATATGCTTTGCTGCTTCCAGGAGTAGGAATGTGAGTTATTTACTTTCATTTGGAATAATGGGGTATAGAAAAAATAAGAGAATAAGTGGTTGGAGTAAGCATTAAAAATAGCACTCACAAACGATGGCCAATATGGCAGGCTTTGCATTTCAGCAACGGACCATGAAAAGACTTTTGAGGTCCTGTAAATATTAAATGTAACACACACCCTTAGAATACACATACTCATCTGTTTAGCATTAGTATGTCTGGGTCACTGGTTGAATTCCTGTTACTTATGCAATAGTAATCATCTCGTTTTCTCCATATGGAAAGAAAATTAAGGTCTGTCATTGACCTCTGATTGACAACAGGCTGATTTTGTCCTCTACTCAACCCGTGCTGCATTCCTCTCCATATGCTTCTCCATTTTCCTTTGCACACATACTGTAATTATTCTCCATTAACATCAGGATCTGTGAAAAACATTATTATGAAGCTTTTATATTTGGGTTTGTACTCTCTGGAGTGTTTGGATATAAAATCCTTGAGTAAAGCATTTGATACGGTTAGTCACAATATCTTGATTGCTAAACTTAGTAGATATGGAGTGAAGGATGTTGCCTTGAGATGGTTTAGAAGCTACTTAGCTAATAGAGAGCAATTTGTTAATCTGGAAGACTATGATTCTATGAAGTCACAAATTAAGATTGGGGTCCCTCAAGGATCAATTCTAGGGCCTCTTTTATTTTTAATTTACATTAATGATATGCCTATGACTTGTACTAAACTCCTCCCAGTTCTATTTGCTGATGATACAAATCTTGTAGCTTCGCACCATGACTTCAATATTCTAATAAAAATGGTTAACGAGGAACTATCATATATTATGGAATGGTTTCAATCGAACAAACTTACTCTCAATATAAAAAAATGCAACTTTATGATTTTTTGTAATACTCACAAACATTACCCTATTGAATTATCTAAGATCTACATTAATAATACTCAAATCGAATTGGTTCAGCATACCAGATTTTTAGGAGTCATTATTGATAGTGGTCTTAATTGGTCTAATCATATTAATTTTGTTTCTAAGAGGTCAGCTAAAATGTTGGGTATTTTGAGGAGGGTTTGTCCTTTGGTTCATTCCTCAGCATTTTTAACCTTATATTATAGTTTTTTGTTTCCATTTATTAATTATTGCAATATTGTTTGGGCAGCTACATATCCTACCCACCTTAATAAATTATTAGTTATACAGAAAAAGTATCTTAGATTTATTTCCCATTCAAGCAGATATGCACCTTCGGTCCCTCTTTTTAATAAATTTAAAGTTCTCCCTATTGATAAGGTAAATATTTATCAAACATGCTTACTTATGCATAAGTTTATTTATAGGAAACAAGATCTACCAGACTCTTTCCAGAATTTGTTTATTCCTATCTCACATGTTCATTCATTGCACACTAGACATAGCAATAATAACTTAGTCTTACCAATCGCACGTACCACAAGACACCAATTTAATATTTCTTTTAGAGGTCCTAAGCTTTGGAGTGAGTTAAGTCCATCGTTGCAATCAATGTCCTCTTATTCAGCTTTTACAAAGCATTTGAAGAGTGTACTATCGCTAGCTTGATGCCTTTTTATGTTGTAGTTTTTTATTTATTTTATTATTATTATTATAATTTTTTCCTCTCTTTTCTTTTCTAAGCACATTTGTTTGTATTGAATTGCTTTCTATCATTTGTTGTTTATTTTTATTTTTCATCTTTTGTTTTGTGTGTTTTGTTTTTTGTTGTTGTTCTTCTTTTTTCTTCTGTGATGCTTAGTCTGCATATCTCGTGAGTTAATAGGAATAGGAGTGGAACTCTGTACAAGCCTAGTCTGGCTTCGTTCCCTCCTAGCATTGTTCTGTACTTGTACTAAACGTGCTAAACAAATAAACCTAAACCTAAAACCTAAAAAAAATAAATTAAAGAAATAATTCACTATTCACTAATAATTCAATTCACACCATTACTGCGATTTCATTTCAATCTCACATTTCTTTTTTCTGTGTGGAACACAAAAAGAGATATTAGGGAAAATGCTCATTCTGAGGAAAAAAAATCAGAATATCTGATATAATAAACTCTGAATCGCGAGGGGAAAAGTCAGAATTGTGAGATACACTTGAAATCACCTTTTTTTATTATTATTCCGTGGCTTTCATAAACTGCTACAGTCAAATGTAGGGTGGGCAATTGGAACGCCTATAGCAATAGCAAGCTACCTTTGAAAGCATAAGATCCCACCCTCCCTTCAGAGCGTCTCCAAAGCCACGCCTCCTTCAAAACACACAAACATACAAGAGACGACGTTAAATTACCTCATGTCTCACATAACATTACAATAATAATGATCAGTGTTGTGCAAGTTACTTCCAAACTGTAATACATTAGGTATTACTTGTTACTGTTATTTAAAAGTAATTCATTACCGTACAATATTACTGTCCCAGAATTGTAATGCGTTACATTACTCATGTATTACTTTTGAGTTACTTTCACCAAAATAACTAAGTAGAACTTAACTTTTGGACTGTAACGATATGCAATATGAAACCGAAATCGCGATTCGCCACACGACTCCACGAACCTACAGAATCGCGACACACCTCTTCCAACTCCAGCGTTATTCTCCTTACCGTCCAGATCCAATGCTGCCTTATCTTTAAATTAGGCTGTTAGTATTATTTGAAGTTAACATTATAAAATACGTGGACCTACACCACAAAACTAGTTGAGGATAAATTATTTAAAATTGGGGAAGTCCAGTATTATGGACATGACATTTGCAGTCAAAACTTGAAATTAAAATTCTCAGAAAATACATGTATTGAAAATAGGCTACTTCCTTAAAGGACTCCAGACATTAGACAAATATCAGTCTATGTTTTATTTTTAATATTAGGGAAAAGACACACATTCATGCGTGACAAAAAAATAGGAGGCAAAATATATTTTTTGTAATTCTGTTAATTACACTGCGCAAATCGGATGAGGAAGGGTTGGCTCTCCAGTCTCCATAGAACTTAAAATATTCATTTTATTTTAGTTTTCGTGTTTGTGTTCGCATTTATGAGGAAAAAACAATGTTACAGACGTGACCGCTCTGAACTGGCACTAAAAGACTGCTTTAAAACTTTCACATAGTCTGTTGCCTTTAAGAAGTAAAAGCAGACAATACACTGTAATACAACTGTAATACAAGCCTCACTGAACATGTAACGAGTAAAATATTACTGAAAATTGATTAGTAATGCCTTACACTACTGCGTTACAGCAAAAAGTAATATGTTACTGTAATGTATTACTTTTGTAATGCGTTACTCCCAACACTGATAATGATCGTAAACTAAAGAGCTCTTACTTACAACCTGGCTGCTGCAGATTCATTTCAGCATGACGGCGTTCATAGACAACGCATTCTCACCCCAAGGCGTCACCTTTGACCATGCTTCAATATTTTGACGTTTTAGGCGCCCTTTAGCGTCACTTACATGACGCGATCCTACGGCGTCATCTAACTGACGCTAAAGGAAAGCGTCAGTTAGAGGACGCGGTTAGGTTTAGGTGTGGGGTGGGGGTAGGGTAGGGTACACGCGATCCTAGGGCGTCATCTAACTGACGCTAAAGGGCGCCTAAAGCGTCAGATATTGAAGCATGTCCAAATGCTTCCCAAGGCGTCAGTTAGGTGATGCCTTGGGAGTGAGAATGGGCTGTCATAGAAGTGAACAGCTCCCGGTAGAATGTCACTGGTTGCCATCTCTTAACGGTGCCGTGGTGGCGTGAACGCAGCATAAACTCATTGTTTTGGTTCAGGAGGAAAAATGAAAGATGACTGCAGATGTTTGTTTACAGCGCATGTTGACTGTGTCTACAAAGTGCTGATGATGTGTGATGTCATCAGGTGTAGTAATCCCATAGCTGTAATATTGACAGGCATCATATCATTGCATTACTGGACGAATATTTTCATAAAATACATGTATTGATATTTAGACCACTCCTATTATTGATTGCTATCAGGATGTGAAGAGAGTTTGAATCAGTATAACAAAAAGTGTTTATAAAACAAATTGCCTACCCTAAACTGTAATTTTCTGTCATCCGGTAGGCTCCACCCACAACACAGATCATCGCAGGTTCAAACCTCTTTTTTTACAGTCTATGGTTCAAACACTCAAATAGTCTATGATGCTTTGCTAATAAAATATGAAATTCTTTCATTATTTAAAAAAGCACGGTTATTTAAAACGACGGTTATGTGTGAAAGGTGGGACAACTGCTATATTGGATGTTTTGATCCCAGTATTATAGTTTATATATACTTAGTTATAACTTATAAGCATCTCCTCGCTGATACGTCAGTCATGAGCTCACTACTGCCTTCCAGTGGAGATATCAACCGTTAGACCCAATTTCCTAACAACAGACAAATCCAGTAGCGTAGCCATAGCATAGCCTAGGCTATATGAGGACCGGATGACAAGCTGTATGACAGATCATCAAACTAACGCACTCAAAAAGGTAAGTCATGTAAGTTAAAAAGCATGTTATTTATCCACCTTCTCTCAGAAGACCATTTTGCTATGGTTCACTGAGTTCATTTTCTAGGCCACATATTTAAGCTCGACTTTGACTGGTTACACAAGCCAAAGCTGTGAACGGAAACGGGCTGGCACTTATAAATGTCAGACCACATAGTACAATATACTCTCTCTCTCTCTCTCTCTCTCTCTCTCTCTCTCTCTCTCTCTCTCTCTCTCTCTCTCTCTCTCTCTCTCTCTCTCTCTCTCACACACACACAAGCTTTTTTATAAACATGACACGTACACCATTATATTTTAGGGGATTTTATTTCAGTCTCAACAATAACATAAGAACTATATGACTTATAATGAACAAAGTAAAAAAAATCTAAGACACATAAAGTAGCCGATCAAACAAGTGCATTCTTTGTTAAGATAAAAAAGCACATTTCATTAAAAAATGAAATAAAATGGCTTATTCTTGAGGTTTCTAAAAGGTACAATCCAGAAATGCTCAAATAATACCACAAAAGTCGATAAAAAAGTTGTTAGAAAATGTAGCCTATAGCAAATGAGTGTTGTAATATCTTGAGAGATCTTTTACCTCGAAAAGCCTTTATTTGAAAAGCCTAATTTGTAGAAATTCACATCTGAAAAGCAGCATTTATACCATGTTCGTAGAATTCCGTGGCTGTGGCATTAAACATGAAATAACAGTAAATAGCAGCTAAAAATCAAGCAAATGCTTTGCACTTGAACTTGAATATTAAAAATTTAGAAACTTTTGGAGAATTGAACAAGTAAATCAGTACATGAAAATATGAAATATTAGCAACATAAAGGCAATTGTCACCACTAACCTTTTAACAGTTAAAGTTAAACGATCTATATTCAAATTAACATCTGCTAAATAAAATTTGACTAAATGGAAAAAGCAGACTTAAAGGGACCAATCTAAAAAAAAAAGTTCATCCAAAAAAAAAAAAAAAGAGTTCTGTCATCCAATCCCCCTTTTAAGTTGATCTAAACCAGTTGTTAGTTTTTTCTAATGCTAAACACAAAATTTGATATTTTGAAGAATGTGGGTAACTAAATAGTGGCTCATAAAGTTGTCATGAAGTCAAAAGTGACCCTATTTACAGTGTTAGCGCATATTACCAGTCTTGTGGTAAACAATTAATCCATACAAGTTAATACATAGAATGTACATTTCCTGAGGCGGTGCTTGCAGTGGCAAAACTCGTCACTTGGTAGGGTGTTGTATGTGATACGAGCCAACAACCATGTCTGTTCTTGTGCAGAGATATAGCTTATTCATGTTTTTGTACAGTTACTAGGGTACTTTATATGATTTCTATGATGTGCTTAGACTGTCAACTAGTCTTTAAATATCAAACTCAATACTCGAACTCCATATTTCTACTATTTTCTGGAGCTGAAATATGGGTTGCAAATGTTGTTTTATGGTTGCTAGGGTGCCCTAAGTGGTTGCCAGGGCATGGCTATGAAGTTATTATGTCACTACTTATTAGCTGATTGATAGGATGAGTCAAAAGAGCCCAACCCCAAGTCTCTATGACCTTCTGGTCAAAAGATATGATCCTATGGGACTTTTTTCAGCAGATTTTTCGCCCGCCGGACGAACATCGTAAACCCGATCCCTTAAAAAAGATATAGCACACCTCTCCTCAATAAACCGGTCGATTTGACACCTCATTCATGGGTCTACGAGAACCCGTGTGGGAGGAGTTAGCTAGTTTTTAACAAGATGCTAACGAAATTAGCATGTTGCTAGCATGATTGGTATGTTGTCAGGATGATGCTAGCATGTTGCTAGGCGCATCTTGGTGATTGCTAGGGCGTTGCTAGGTGGTTGCTATGTTGTTGCTAGGGTATTCTTTGTGGTTGCTAGGGCATTGCTAGGCAGTTTCTAGGTTTGTTCTGGGTGGTTGCTAGGGTATTCTGGGTGGTTGCTAAGGTGTTGCTAGGGCATTTCTCATGGTTAGCTTTAATCAAAATCTAAAATCTGCTTCCGCTTTGGAATGACGTTCCTTCTCTGATGACGGCTTGGTTTAAATATCCTTAACCACTCCCCTCCAACCTTCAGTCTGCTATGTGTGAGTGATGTAGAGGAGGTGTGCTAACAGAAAACCCTGGCCTCTATTCAATATTCTGTTTCTCTTGGAAATACGTCACAACTCTAAAGTAAAGTCGATTGCAACTTCTGGTTCATTGGGAATTTAAACTAGAATTTATTGTTTTGTGAATTCTGTCCTCCACCCAGGTATTTTTCAAAAATTTACGGTCGCATGTTTTAAGTTTACAATTGTTACAGTCGTTTGGTATGTTACCACCTTGTATAATTTGTTGCTCGGTTCACACTCGAGGACAACAGCGATAATGATATTATTAAAAAAAATGTTGAAATATAAAAGAATAGCAGAGTTCACACCACAACTGTAACAATAACGGCACAGTGAAACGTTAATGAACCTACCCAGAGGCCCCAGTCTCCCCTATACAGACAGAGATGGACTGGACCTGCGCTTAGATGGATTTGTTGCTGTATTTCTGCATCTCCTTCAGGGTCAAATATCCACTCCCGCAGGGCTCAATCAGGGAGGAGGGTCTGACCACAGCGCCCTCTGCACGCTCAACGGTGGAACTACAGCTGGGTGCTCTCACCGGTTCAGACCACGGTGTGATGATGGGCACTGGAGCGAAACTCTCTGCTGGGTGAACAGCACCGTGGGAACCTTGCAGTGACATAATGAAAGAGACCAATGCATGTCCTTCCACCTCGGCATCTTGGTCTTCTTGATCTTGGTCTTCCTCACAATTCTGCTCTTCAGGCATGTCGAGCCCTGAATCAGGGCTCATCGGCTGTTCCATCTGGTAACTTGGGGTTTGCAAACAGTCATATGAAGACCCAGCCGACGAGAGAGGGGAGCTTGTGCCTTCCTCAGGGTGATAGGTGAAGTACACAGGGCAGGATTCGAGGTAAAGAGAGCCCGAAAGCGATTTGCTATAGAAATAGCCCATGTTAGAGAAAACAGATGATGAAGCATGGCTCGTGCCGCTGTTTTCAAGTCCAGAGTCCATCTGATTGGAGTGAACGAGCGCAGCAGTAGACATCTGAGCGTTGGGATCCAACAAGGACAGGTCCCAAACATCAGAGATTTCTACAGGTAAGATATCATCACATGACTGAGGGGTAAGAAATGGCCCGTCTGAATTTTGACAGCCCAGCCAATTCTGTGGACAGGAAAGAGGAAATGCATGTGGTCAGTGTGTGTGTGTTTTTTTCTGGCTTGCTGAAGGAAGATATGAGTAAGCATTTGCAAGAAATACAGGTCTAGGCCACATCTGTAAACTTGGGTGTGTGTGAGAATTTGAGAATCTACTGCTAAGATTTTACATTGGAAGTGAAACGTGTGAACCCGATAATGTTATTGGTACTCTCATACATTTCTGCACGCTCAACTGCGTTGGTGTGAATTCACAACAAAGAAAGTTAAAAGAGAAAAACAGTAATATCACCTTGAGTAAGGGGTGAGTAATTCTTTTTTTTTTGATTCAGCAAGGTTGCATTAAATCAAACAAAAGTGACAGTACAGACATGTATAATGTTACAAAATATTTATATTTCAAATAAATGCTGCTCTTTTGAATTTTTTATTCTTCAAAAAATCCTGAAAAACTCTGATAGATGATAGATGTTTCTTGACTGATAGATGATAGATGAACATCTAACACTGATAGATGTTTCTTGAGCATCAAATCAGCATTTTAGAATGATTTCTGAAGGATCATGTGACACTAAAGAGTGGCATATCAATCACCACAGGAATTATCAGTCAACACATT